TGTTTTCTCAAAAACTAAAAGTTATTTTTCAAAACGGGATGGTTCATTGGAAAGAGGACACTTTTATTAACACTTTGGGAAATTTTCATACTCATATTCCAAGAAATGGATTTTATACGAATTTTTAAAACATAATCGACGAAAATTGCAAACTTCGATAAAATTGTCGATCATTTCAAAAATTTATTTCTCAAGAACTGAAAGTGATTTTTCAAAACGGGGTTTTGCATTAAAAAGAGGATACTTTAACTAATAATCGAAAGTGATAACAGCGACAGTTCTGTTAGTACCCTGATATAAATAAAGTTATATTCAATGAAAAAAGTCCTACTGGGGTTGAACTTGATTATTATCTGCAATGTCCAACACCTAAAAGAGGTACTAATTCCTGTGAATGGTGGAGTACTAAGTAATAGGTTTTTAATATCCGGCTTTGGCCGGTAACTATCCGGTATCCGGCCGGATTTTAAAAAATGGCCGGGTAGGCCGGATACCGGATAGTTGCCTGATATCCGTTCCACCACTAGTCCTTATATATGCAATGTGCATCCGGTCATGTGTTCTTTATGTATTGCTAAATCCTACCATACTAATCATTTCACTGTTTGATCTTAAGTATTTATATGATCCGGGGACAAATGTTATCATCGGTACCAGCATTCTGACGTTATATTCCATGGCTTGAGGTTTGAGTACATTTTAGCAATCAAAGCTCAATTCTTTGCCAACGGCCGTGAGATGAAGATTTGCGAAATCCTATCTACTCTGTTGATCACTAATTTAGTACACAACAGTCTTACTCTAACTTCAATAGATGTTTCACCTACTTCAATCGTTAACGCATCTTTTGGAGAAGATCTCAGTGCACCCAGTACAGCCCTATAAGCTTCATGGCACGATACCTGAAGTTTATTCATCATAACTTTAGGAATAGGCATTAGTATCCACAAACCATATTCATTTCTGGATTTGATTGTTGCTCTATATTTATAGAGTACTTATTATTATAGGATTAGGTTATTAGTAATACCTCCTTTGCAGGCCTTAACTATTGTATTGACTTGTCTTTTCCAACTTAATTTCCCACAGGGCTACCATCATATATAATCCAATGATTGGACGATGTATATTTCTTTTTCTAGTGAAAAGAAGTGCTTTTGATTTTTCTAATGATATCTCAAGTTGTTGTTTGCCTAAAAAGCATTTTACGACCTCTAGTGCTCGATTCATATGATTTTCCGCAGTTTCAATGTTAGCAGAAGTACAATATAATACTAAATCATCAGCATACAAATAAACTTCAAATTTGAGTAAAAACCCTTTTTAAGGTTATATTAAGCGTCAAAATAACTAAAAATATTACCTTCCACTGCTGCATCACCTATTTGTTCCACACAATCATTATGTAATTGTTTGGCTAATTCTTCCATTTCTTCTGACATTGCCTAAATATTTATAATTACATATAATTTATATTTTTGTATCATTAACTTACTTGAATATTTGGAAAAAGTAAACACAAAATTAAAGAAAAGCACAGTTTAATCATTTTAATGTATTTGAAATGTATTTTATACGGTGAACAATCGCGCAATTATTAATCCAATGTTGTTTTATCCTTTTTATAGTTGCGTATGGTTTAATTCCTCCCATTCAACTTGTTCGAGAACGAAATAAGTATATTTTATTCAAATCCGGATGCGTAACGTTTCATTATAAAAGTTGAAGAATTGGCACGAAACTACAATTAACCCGTGAGTGATGAGACTCTGTCAATAGAAAAATGTGGTAACTATCAGTTTTCATAGACTGTAATCGGAAATCGATGGTCAAGATGGGTAGAATAAAGAAAGACAAGGTCAAGCGTATAATTTATTTACACATTTTGTCAATAAAAATAAGTTCTTCAAAAATAATTATTATTTACAAACGCATTTAATTATTGCTTTGATATTAATTCGTTCGGTCTAAAATTATTTTGCTTTTTTCAAAAACTCAGATTACAGACCAAAACGAATAGTAATTTCTAATTTAATTTGCCACTGTTTCCATCTCCTTTCACACAAAGCTTTGGCGTTTCATTCATTAATAAAATTAAAGACTGATTGGTCACGTTTTAGATGAACCTTCAAATTAAACTTGGACGATTATTACAACGAGCTACGTAATACATAATTCAAATCGTACAGCAATAAACTGATTTATAGGCGACATAAGTCGTATTTGTCAAAACGTTCTGTGTGCAGCTTTAACATTGGTGATTTATTGAGTTTGAGTTCATTTTAGATCACATCTTTTAACCTTCCGCATACGAACTGGGGTACCATGCAAAGCGAAAATAATAACTCAAAATAATTCAAAAACAAAAAGACGCGAGAGGTCGTGTTCTATGTAGAATTTTATAGAAATAATATTTTATTTGTGGGGTTCTTGATAAATTTATTCCATAGATAAATCCACCTCTGAGGGTTTAATTCAAATCTCGCTTTAGCATCTTTTACGTAAGGTATCTACTGCTCGTGGCTTTATTCAAATGGTGTATGGGATGTTAGAACATAATCCACTTGAAGTTCTGTCATCTAGTTACTTGAATAGATGAAAAGTCAAAAGTGTTATTACTCTATAAGAGAATGTTTGTTAATAGTTTCAGCGTTCTGATTAGTTTTTCTTTATAACACTTTTAATTAAAATATGTTAGAAGTAGTTACATTGGGCTAAATCTAATTGATGAATAGATTTACTGAATGTAAAGTTACTACTTTGAATTGTGGTTACTTACTTCGCGCACGTAAACATAAACACGTTGGAATTGACAAACATTGGACAAACGAGGAGCGAGGGGGTCGGTGGTACTGTTTATGTCTAACAATGAGACAAACAGCTATAAAAGCATAGCGATAGCTCATCCAGAGAGAAGCGAAGCAAGTGAGGTCTAGATCGTTGGTTGGCACCATCTATTTATTCAAATTTCGACAAATAATTTGGTAACCTAATTTCTCTGTATTTAGTAACACCTGTTGGATTATATTACCACTAGGTAACGAGACCTTATTTCAGTTTTTGCTATATTTAATGAGTAAAAAATCAGTCGAATAGCGAGAAAGTAAAAATGGAAGGTAGAAACGTGGATGCTGAATCTTCAGCTCAAAATTACTTGATGATTATTTGCAGTGTAAATAATCACTATATGTATAAGTGACTTCTAACAACGCGATGAATGCAAATCGAAATTAGGAAATGGGTTAAATTTAGATATGAAGTAAATCAATAATGCAATCATGAGGCAAATCAATAACAATTCATAGTAATTAACACAAAAAGACATTCGTATTAACATAATTGAGCATAGGCCAACATTTGCTAATCAAAAAACAAAATGCAAGTTAGTGGATCCGGTTTTTTTATTACTTTTTCTAAATATCATAACCAACTAAAAAATGATTTTATCGGTTAATTTATTTTCTCCATAATTGATCACTAGGGTCGGCGTACCACTTATAGCCAGTTTAAGGATTGTTTTGAATTCCATGCCTTGTATTTTGCAAAGAATTGAATTGTCGTTAGATGCTATGATTCTTAATGATAGATAATATAGTTTTTTTGCGATCATTGGTGGAAAAGTATTAAGAAAATAAAACGTAAATTCAACAAAAAACATAAAAAGGAAAAACTACCGTTTTTATTATAGCCACTTGATCACCATTTATAGCCTGGTGTATGCACTATATTTAGCCACCATACTTAATCTAAACTGAAATTATTGATAAATTGGGAATTTAATTGATTGAAAACTACTATATAAAGATATAATGATTTGAAAAAGAAGTGCAACGATTAATAATTATAATATATATGTACCTATATTCAGATAGATGTATATAATATATGTATATCCAGACTCTTTCTGCGTGACTAAACACTTCATTGTCTTCAATTGAACCTCTTGAACTTCAGGAAACCAAGCTCTAATGTTTCCTTCGTTGTTTTTGGCTATTCGAGGATAACGTTTCAAAGAGGATTCGAACCATTTCCTTCCTGGTTTATTGTTTGTGAAAGGAGTGTCTAGACAGTTCTTCTCTAATATTTGCTGAACATAATACATTAGTCCTTCCTTGTTCACTGGAAATCCATGGCTCGCGTTTGTCAATATCTAGTGTTCAAGTTGATCTTCAATATCCTTGCCTAGAAATAATATAGGAATCAAACTGCCAAAACATGGGCTACTATTTGACATTGATTGGCTATAAACACTGCTGTCCAAGTAAACTTGTAGTTTCTTTACAGAAACAATGTTGTTTTTAGTTTTTAATCAGTGGTTATCTATTATTCTTAGCTAGAAAACACTTTTTTCCAACTTTTTGCATCTTTGCTGAAGTTTTACCACTTAACTTATCACACAAAATTGTTCTAGGCACTGCAAAACTAGTGATGGGCGCTGGGTAAATACCCGGCGGGTAGGTATTTATAAAATGGGTATTTATCTGGGTATTTACCCCGGCCCAGGGTAAATACCCAAAGAGTACATATAAAAGTGATACAAGTAAAAACATAACAGATTCAGACAAAAATGTAGAGGAACATGATGAAATGGGCGTTGAAGACGAAGAATTGTCAACGATCGAAGATGTAATATAATCAGGTAACCACTGCTCATTCTTCATTCTTGCGACGATAATCCGCCCAATTCCACTTGAGCTTTACCATAATGTTGACCGGATCATTTACGCCAGTTCTTCTTCGTAGGTCTTCATTTCGCATGTGGTCTCTAAGTTTTCTGTAGCCTGCCCTTCTGTTTAGTTCGCTTGTTCGATTATTATCTCTCGATACACGAACCTCATGGCTAAGATATATGGCTGCGATGCGAACCAACTGAGATGAGTACTTTAAGAACAATAGTGGAAAAAACAAGAAGAGATAGAGTTAGGAACAAAATTGTAAGAGAATTTTGTGGATTCGGAGATGTCATGAGATTTGCTAGGGGAAAAATAAAAAAAAAATTAATGAATGGAAGAAACCTGGCTGATTAAGACAGCAAGAGACCAAAGATTAGCTAGAAAGATATCCCGGGAGACCAGGAAGTTCGATTTCCAGCTCTAATGAAACACCATGAATGATGCGTAAAAAACAGGTTACAACCTGAATAAAAGAAGAAGAATAATAAGATCTTAAACGAACTACTTAATTTTCAATTGAAAATCAGCAATCTCATGGATCTTGGGATCTTGGATTTGATGGAAGTGCAATATGACTAGAAAAGAATCAAACAACAAGACTTAATGAAGCACAAAAACCTGAATTTAGTCATTAATATTAGACTTATACTCAATTCAGGACATTCAAAGCTGTTTTTCAAGCATTAAAGAAATCGTTCAATATTTTCGAAGAGTATTACGTAAACGAGATTGGTCGGTAGTGAAAATATAAACTTTCCCGAAATATGTATATGTACTACTTTAAAGCTAGTAACACCAGGAATGTGTATAAATTTGTTAGATAGTTAAGACACACGCACAAATCGCACATAGCTCTATGCTGAGATAGAACAGGAAAAATAATATGTGATAGTGAAATGAATGACATTTGGAAACACTATTTCCAAAACCTATTAAGCATAGAAACTGATTTGGAAATAGACAGCAGTCCGTCACACCAAAGAAAGGATAGTGTCATGGAACCTATATCAATCAGTGAGGTTCAAAACGCAATCACTGCGTCAAAATATGGAAAGGCATCAGGGATTAATGACATACCATCGAAAGTATTCAAGATAGAAGTATTCATTACCACCAATATTGATGTTAGAGCTTGCAACAAGATTTGTCCTAAATTTTGTTGATATTTAGCCCGACTCTTGCACACGCCTCCTGTATACGTTCAGCATCAGGTTCATCTCTCCAAGGCTATCCGAAATGAGGACTATATCGTCCGCGTAGCGCAAATTACTTAGGACTCTCCAGGACTGTGATGAACAATTTGGGTTCAACATTATATCGCCTTGTACTCGCCTTATACCCACGCACAATGGGTATTCGAAACAATTCGAAACAATGAACCAAAGAGAATTGAGTCAGTTTGGCTAACACCAATCAATGGTGTAAGCCTACTGTTTTTCATCAATCCTCAAATTAAATTACATACTACTAGTAGAAATTAAACTAAACGACACAATACGATGTACGTCGCAGAATCAAAAGAAAAAGAGAGAAAAAAGAGAACAAAACCAAAATGAAATGAGTTGAGAAAAAAATGGGTATTCGGTCAGTACTTTCATGCAATTTTACCATCATTGTAGCATTCTTGTAAATGTAATAAATAAGTTTGGTGTATCAATAATGGACTCTGCATTCTTGAAGCACTTGCAAAACTGCCATCAACTCAATTTAAATCAAATTTTATAAATACCTCTAAATACTCATCTTGGGTAAATACCCCCGGGTATATATCCAGGGAATTTTGCCTTGAAAATAAATACCCGGGTATTTAACAATACTGTGCAAAACTACTACTGGTCTTTGCCACAGCCATTCCATCTTGTTCTACTGCTTGAAGTGCGCGTGCAAGTTGTTCTGAAGAGTATTGATGAAGAGCACCTTTATTTCTTTGCATAGATCTATTAATATTTTCCTTTGTTTTCTTTTTTGATGGTGCCATTCTCAACAAACTACTAAAGCTAAAAACTAACTTGCCTATAATTGATACATCAATGATCTAAATATAGTCATATCCTGGCTAAAATTGGCACAACATTTGTCTAAATATAGCCATCTAAGTGACTATACATNCTTTGCCACAGCCATTCCATCTTGTTCTACTGCTTGAAGTGCGCGTGCAAGTTGTTCTGAAGAGTATTGATGAAGAGC